CCCCCCCCCTCAAGTTCCAACCCGCTCCCCTCAGTCATTTGAGGACACTCGCGGAATGACGCGTCTACTCATCCCGCTCGTGGTGTCATTGTCACTACGAAAAATGCACCCCGTCTGTGCGCCACGAATTCGTTCCCGGTTCAATGTTCAGGTTCGACGAGGGGGAGGTCCACGTAGGCGACGACATAGTACACGGGTTTATCGACGGTGCCTTCGGGAAAGGCAATACTAAATTCCGTGCGCAGGTCGGGCACCGGCGTGTTGCTGGAGGTGTTCTTCCCTGAGCCGTTCTCCCCTGAGCCGTTCTTCCCTGAGCTGTTCTCCCCCGAGCCGTTCTCGCCCGAGCTGGTCGAGGCACTGGGTAGCGTGTCCGGGCAGACGGAGGGTATGAAGAGTGCCATGCCGGGGAGCGGCATGACGTTGATGCTCGCGGCCTGGAAGACGATACCACACGGCGCCTTTGGCTCTGCCATCTTGGGGTCGCCCTGTGGTGGCTTCATGGAAGCTTCGGCTTTCCCGTCGTTGAGTGCAATCAGCACAGCGCCTGCGCGTGAGTGCGAGAAATGTCCTTGTTTGGTGAAGTCACCGGCAGCGTAGCGTTCGATAGTGATGTGTTGAATGCGATCAGTTGGGAGTCTGCAGACGGCGGCGGCTTTAACTTGTAGAAGACGAAAAAGCGATGAGTCGGCGGGGACAGGTGCAGCCCGGCAGCGGCGGCGGGTTTCATTCACTTCCGTGACGCTAATGTCGATGTCGCCTGCATCGTTAGGCACGGTGTACTGCACCACACGTTCGACCTTGGCCTTCATGTATGTGCATACACCGGCACGGAAAGGTAGCGCGGCTGCCAGTGCACACACGTGTGCAGCCTGGGTGGCATCCAACAATTCGTGCACTGCCAGGATCTCCGGACTTTCTAACAATCGCACAGCTCGTAACTCGCGAGATCCGCGACTATCACGAAAAGCAAACACGTGTGATACTTGAAAACCCACCGGCTCAACCGGGACCAGGATTGGTGGCGCAGATGCAGACGCTGCCGCCTCCGCCGCGGTTAGGTCTAACGCACTGCCAGCCACGTGCGCCTGCAACACCTTCAACAACACTACAAGACAGCATGTGTAGGAAACACACACCCCCCGTAGGTACACACCCCCCGCGTACCATTATCGTCTTGGCAGTGCGGATTAAGTTTTTTCATGACTTGGATGGCCTGATTCACGTCAGAGAGGAGCTTAGTATCGCCGGCAGCGGCATTGTCCCTGAGTTGTTGCTGGCTCTTGGCGATGTCCGCAAGGGCTGCCTGGTTCTCCTTGATCAGTTGGTCGACACCGACTGCCATTTTTTTGGCGGGCGAATTTCGCACGGGTTCATCGCACTGAATATACGTTACTCGCGAACGATCTCGCTACAACAGAGAAGGTGGGTAGGGAAGGTGAATGGGGGTGGGAGTCGCGAGGATTTACTCGGTGCATATTTTTGCAAGCGCCGCGTCCGAGCAGGTTTGCCGGGAGTAGTGTGCGCAGTCATCTCCGAGTGTGTGCAGTGGAATGTTTATCCCCTTTAGGAATGTTTATCTACCCAGATAAGATTCCCCTTTAGGCTCACCCTCCTGCGGTACTCACCTTCCCGCGGTACTCACCCTCCCGGCCGTTTTCGGGCGTGCCCCGAGAGGCATAAATTTCATTTGTTAGGATGCGTGGTAGTTGTGGGTTCAGTAAGAGTGTGGTTGGAGAGAGCCCAATGTTAGCAAGGGTATTGTCGTTTGTTGGTGATATGTTGCATCTGTCTCCGGCGTATGGAGAGTTGTATCATGGTAGGGCGATCTTGGTGGATGATGAGATGCAGAAGAATACACCTGTGTCGTTCGTTACGTTGATGCCGGAGGCGTTTGCCGAGAGTGACGGAAAGGGTCCTCGGGTGTCTGTGACTAGCACGGATATGCTTCGTATGGGGACTTCATCATTTGAGCGGAAGGTATCGGAGGAGCAATTATTTTACCAAGCTAAACGTATTTGGCTGGATGTAGGCGATAAGAATACGGAGTTGTTGCACTTTATCGTGGATCGTGCAGTACTAGAGCTCGATGCTGATGCTCATGAGAGTGGTTATTTCAAACGTAAGTCTGCGATTCCGAGGGCACATGAGGTTACTGGTGCGCAAAAGGGTGCTCTGGCAGCTGACATTGCAACACTCCAACCACCTGATTTTGCCCGACGCATGCGATCATACTACGTTGGTACTAGACTTCATGATTCCTTCTCCTGCCTCTTCGCAGCTGGAAGTCCCGAACCAAAATCCAAGCACGATTTCATGAATCGGATACTACATCTCGCCGACATCAAACTCAGTCGACTTCCCTGCACATGGCTCGCTGGCTCCCCCTACTACCAGTACGGCAAGACATCCACTGTCAAAAAATCAGATTGCTCTGAACTGCCGGAAGGCCACAAGCACTTTTTCGGCGTAGGCTCCGCACACCTCGGCGGAGCAATAAACAACGAAAGCGGCGAAATTACCGTCCGTGGTAATGCAAAGTGATGACACTCCGTCATCACTTTGCACTCTTTTATCGTAAAAGTTTTTTTGGTGACTTGGATGGCCTGATCCACGTCGGAGAGGAGCTTAGCATCGCCGGGGGGGGCCCTGGCTGGCCGTTGTCGACAGCAATTTTTTGGAAGCCAATTTCGCACAGGTTCATCGCACTGAATATGAGTGACTCGTGAACGATCTCGCTCGCTACAACAGGGAAGATGGGTAGGAAGTGGCAAGAGATTTCCTCGGTGCATATTTTTTTTTGGAAGCGGCGCGTCCAAGCAGGTTTGCGTGGAGTAGTGTGCGCAGTCATCTCCGAGTGTGTGCAGTGGAATGTTTATGCCCTCCCGCGTTGCTCACCCTTCCGCGGTACTCACCCTCCCGCGTTGCTCACCCTCCCGCGTTGCTCACCCTCCCGCGTTGCTCACCCTCCCGCGGTACTCACCCTCCCGCGGTACTCACCCTCCCGCGTTGCTC